CTAACCAAGTCTTAAAAACCTCTAAGGATAGAGATTCCACATCTCTGGGTAACCTGTTCCAGTGCTTTCCTACCCTTCTAGTGAGAAAGTTTTTCCCTAATATCTAATCTAAACTTTCCTTTCTACAACTTGAGACCATTGCTCCTTGTTCTGTCATCTGTCACCAGTGAGACCAGTCTAGCTGTGCTGTGTCATCTTTCGAACCCCACTTCAGGTAGTTGAAGGCTGTTATTAATCCCCTCTCAGTCTTCTCTTCTCTAGACTAAATAAGCCCAGTTCCATCAGCCTCTCCTCATAAATCATGTCCCCCAGCCCCTTAGCCATTTTCATTGTCCTCCGCTGGGCTCACTCCAATTTGTCCACATCCTTTGTAGTAGGGGACCCAAAATCGGACACAGTTCTCCAGATGTGGCTTCAATAGTGTCAGGTAGAGGGGAATAATTATATCCCTCAATCTGCCGGCAACACTCCTACTACTACTGCACCCTGCTGGGAGAAACTATACCGTCATATTAGGCTCCTGCTGTCCTGCTCTCTTTACAACAGTTTATAACATTTGGAAGGAAAACAGCTGAGCATGTGGCTCTTTCTGCCAGCACGAGGCAAGCATGCAAGTACAAACACATGTCCAATCATTGAGCCCTTTTTGACACAGCTGTACAACTGTTTCTTCACATTGTATTTGATACAATGGCAAATAAAGTAATCATATAGGTTTTGAGATTAAAATTAAGGTAGAATAAGTTAGCTGTGCATTTACAGAAGACAAATAATTGTCAGATTACTGATGTAGACCACTCTTTATTGAATGACCACTTTGCATGTTCAAGTTACTATAAGAGAATAACAAACACTTGGATAAGAGCCTTAAAAATGTTCCAAAATACAAGTGCACATTTGCAAGTTACCTAAGGCTCAGGTCAAACTCAAATTTCCAAAGACAGACACTCTCTAAAAACCAGCCTCACATCCTTCCCAATTGCCAACCCACCTATACTTATGTTTCTAAAGAAATACAGGGCAAGGATTCCTTAGGGTGATCACTTTTACTGGACCAACTACATAGCTTGGATAGAGTTCAGATGAGCTGCTGAATAAGCAGAGAAATAAGATTCACAATAAAAAAAAAAGTCAGGTTCACATCAGCCTCCAAACTATAAATAGTGCAAGTGAAATTGTAGCCATGACGGTCCAGAAATTATACGAGGGGCAAGGATGCCTTAGGGTGATAGCTTTTATCGGACCCACTACATAAGTGGGACAGACAAGCTTTCGAACACAAGGTGTTCTTGGTCCGATCCGTTTCAGGTGATCTGCTTTGGAGCAGGTTAAGCCCAGATGGTTTCTCAAGTTCTCCTGCCTAGCTGTATCACACAGCCTGCGCGTTGTGCCTTGGCACGACATTAGGTTTCCTGTGCAGGCTTCAGTTGGGGCTGGTCCTAATAGTTGGGGCTCTGAGCAGGGGATTGGAGGTCCCCAAGATCCCTTCAAATCCTCATGTTCTACTATCCCATGATTAAGAGGATGGCAGATGCTAAGTTATCTTTCTTAAGTACGGGCTTTTGCTGGGATCCTATGATCCCTTCTGACTTCCTGCCCATGGGGCAGGGGGCTGGACTCGATGATCCTCCAGGGTCCCTTCCAGCCCAAATGTCTATGAAATCTTAAAGGCTTAAAGTGGGGCCTTCAAAAGCTCAGCTAGCTCTAGCCCAACCGTGCAGCGGGGCCAGCACCTGGGAGTGCCCGACGCCCTCCCTACCCCTCAGCAGCAAAGTAAATGGGGGGCCTCATTTGCATGCATATTTGCATATTTGCCCGGTGTCCGCTCGTTTCTCAGCCCACACGATCATTTCCAGCTTCCATGGCGATACTTTCATCATATTTAAGACTGGCACCGCCAGCCCCAACCGCACCAAACAACTGCCCCCCCCGCTCAAGGAGCCCGGAGCCAGCCCCTTCTTCCCGGCCCCGGCTCCGTCGGTGTGGGGGAGGGGGTGGCGGTTAATGGTCGCCCGAGCCCCACTAGAAGGAAGAGGGGGAATCTCACCGCGGCCCCGCGTCCGGCTCCGCTCAACTTTCGAACCCCCCGCCAGCGCTGCTTCTCGTCAGGATCAGCCGCTACTGGCTCTCATTGGCTAATAACGCCGCCACTCAAGACCCCCGAGCCTCTCAGCTGCGGCTCCGAGAGCCCCGGGGCGGGAGCAAGCGCCACGATTGGTGCGTTCAGGCGCATTCAAATGCTATTGGCTGCGAGGGCAGAGAGAGCGAGAGAGAGAGAGAGAGAGAGAGAGAGAGAGAGAGA